CTGCCGCATAAAAGCACACATTTTCGAGACGTCCAGACGTAAAACAACGATGCTGTCGCCATCCTCAAAACCCTCCAGTATCGAATCAACATCGGGCGTAAGCTAAATAAAACTTTAATTTTAATACAGATTCTTCGACATTTAAAGGCACATAAAAAACAGTCCTTAAAGCAGCTGCCAGGCGTTTCATTATTCGGGGAATTCATTTAGAAGCATCCGAGTTATTTTTCCGAATTTATTTCAGAAAGCAAAATTTTTGAAAAACCACCCGAAATTTCTTGCCCCCAGCGCAAGCTGGCCCAACAATGCGCTAAAACAATATGCCATCGAAAGTAATGAAAAGACCCACTGACACGCTATGGAAAGTACTGCGATCGAATAAATGAATCATTTACAAACCGCCAATTTACAAGTTATTAAAAGCAAAAAAAAAAAAAAACATATACAAGCGCATGAAAGCGGAGCAAAAAGAAATTCGGCGCCAAAATTGCTTGCGTGCAACAAAAAAAGAAAAGAAATTTTGAATTTTTTACTCGCTAAAACAAAGAAGCAATAATTCTGTGCTCATTAGAAAAAAAAAGAAACAATAATAAGATAGGAAATACTCAAATCCTTGTTCAAACAAATGAAATACAGCAAATAAAAACTTATAATAATTTTAGTGTAGCGAACACCAAACAAAAGGGTGCGAATGCCAGTTCTTCCTCGCAAACTGGGTAGGCCGCTAATTACGGACGAAATAAACCCTTTCGCAATTCACTTTTTCTGAGCAGCAACCTGACTTGCGCCAATACCAGTTTGCTATCGAAACGAATGAACAAATTCATAAAAGGATTAATTATCCCACTGGTGGAATCGTTTTCTTAAGTTTTATTACGAGAGCAGCGCCACTAACCACTGTACGATGCTCGCCGGCAATGATCGGTTTAAATACTGGCAGAAATGAAATCGAAACAAACAAACCGCTTTCAGACGCCATTTTATTCGATGAAGGCTGAACGAAGAGCCGACGTAATTATCCAGAAAAGAAATGAACTGTATTGGAGGT